ATATCTAGAATTAATTTTCTTTATAAACCCAATTTTATATAAGCATTCCTACAGGTTTTGCTAAAATAACCAATGAAGAATTTTCTATATACACTGAAAATATGTATCAGATAAATGCTTGCAAATCCATACATATTTACGAAAATATTAGATATTTCATCAAAATATAAAATTGATATTTAAAAATCTTTCCTCATATATTTTCTAAATATTTGGAAAAATATCGCAAAAAGATATGAATTATATATATATTAAAAATATTTAAAATGAATATTTTATAAACATATAAGAAATATATTTATTAAATATTAAAAAATCTGTCGTTGCAAATATTTAACAAACATTTTTTTAAAATATTTAATGTTATCGGGGTAATACTCCTTGTCACAATCCTAAAAATCCCTAAAAAAAGCTACTGGAACGCTGGGCACCGATTAAACAAGTGCGTTGATGTCAAAATAGGGTTTATGTAGGAAAATAAATACTGTACCCTATTTCACGAGTATCCATCACGGGACAGTGACAGCTAGTTATCTAGTAATATTTCAAAATTTCCCATATCGACAAAGGACACCTAATTAATTCCGAGGGATCGGAGAACTCCAGCTAGACAGACCCCTATTTTGTAGTGGTTCTTTGTACGCTTTGTTCCATGGTATAGACAAACAGATTTGTTAGTATCGCATTCATTGATTAATTACACAAAACGCATTTCTGTTCGCCATCTTCATCCCTACAATCACAATTAAATTACTGTTGACGTTGACAACACGGACAAGTTCTCACCTAATGCTGGCAACAGTGGGCCAAAATGTTTATCAATTAATGGTTGGCGACATTGACTCGTCAATAATAATATGATTGGGGACGTTGACGTAATGTCGCTAACAAAATTGGAATTTAGACTAACCACTAACAGTGTGAGCAGCACAGGGTTGCCAGTCGTAGGATTTTTCGCCAAAGTGACGATTTGACTGCTTCAAATGGATAGCTTGGCGACTGGCTACTTTAATGGCGCGCAATAACGAGTAAACTGGCGACATCTGGCGATTTTTAACATTTCTGACGTCAATTAATTTGTGATCAATTTTTGCTGATATGTGTATACAGGGAAAACCAAATTTGTCTGAAGGCTTGAGTTCAATGTGTACGAAAGAGAAGCGCGAGAAGTGTGTATCAACACATCTTAGAGAGAGATAGAAGCCGGCTGAAGAGCGAAAGCTTCCGCGTTGCCAGAAAATATTGCCAGGCTTCTACAACAGGTTAGGTTACTGTCAAACCCAAGAAGGAGGCCTACTAGAAGCAGGACGACACTCCCCAATGAGAGCTAGATGGGTTCTGACCAAAATCGCTCCTCTATGATCATGGAAGTGGTAACTTTGACTTGGAATGTACAAGATCCGGTGTTATCGAATGAACCAATGATGCAATGTTGCGGGATTTATGACGATCCTGAGCTTTTATTCCGACCTAAAATGCAGCGGCATTAGGGCCGATCCGTAATCGATCCTAGACAGATTCGAGCCAATTCACAATTAAAAAATGTATACGCTCAAAATAAAACCATTATTTGGGCGTAGAAAGTAAACTAATGAATGTTGTCAAAATGCACCTTAGTTCAATGAACTGGTGTAACATAATGGCAACGAGGCAGATTGCCGTGTCAGCATTGATAGGTAATGCAGTGATGAGCTTCGCTATCCAGCCGGCTTTTTTTTTTTTTTTATATCGAAACAGCCGCGCAGGCAGAAGCCTAAATGCCGGAACACCGCGGCTGCTATGATGATCCCAAAGAAATCTTGTTAATACGACCCTTGAACTGCCTAAGGTTAGTAGAACTGGGAAAAGCTTCCTCCCGTAGTTTGTTCCACAATCTAGATACCCTCGGGACAAAGGAGCGGTCGTATCGGCCAGTTCTGGATGTACGAAGTTTGACACGGTTAGGATGGGACGCCGAAGTCAGGCGGGTCTGTCTGGCAGGCACATCGCGCGGCGGCATCATGGAAGAGAGCTCTGAGGAGCAAAGCCCGTTGGTGTAGCGATAGAAAAGAGCTAGATCGCCGACGGCCCGCCGGTGCGAAAGAGTCCCGAGACTGTCTGTTAGAGAAGAGTCATCGATCAGTCGGACCGCCCTCTTCTGGACAGCATCGAGCATGGACAATGTAGTCGGGGCGGCAGCACCCCAAATGTGTGAGCAATACTCGAGGCTAGGCCTTATCTGGGCCTTGTATAGAGTGAGAAGGTCATGCGGAGAAAAGTACTTCTTAGCCCTAAACAAATAGCCTAGCTTTTTCCCAGCAGCTGCAGCTATTGAAGAGATGTGTTCGTGCCAGATCAGGTCCTCGGTGATCTGGACTCCGACCAGCCGAAATGAATGGCTCTTTGGTAGAACTCGACCGTCCATCGAAACTGTATGAGCGCTAGGACGCTTTTTGTTCGTGAAAGTACAGTACTGTGTTTTGGAAGCATTGAACTGTACAAGATTGTTGCGTCCCCAAGCAGTGATAGCCTCCAGGTCTCTTGTCAGAGAAGAAGTCGTCGCTAGTCTTCTTTTTTCCAGCTCAGCGGCAGAGATCGGCTTGTCACTCTGAATTCCTGCATGTAGAGTGCTGTCATCAGCGAAGCTGTGGATTGGGTTGATCGTGCAGGAAAGGAGGTCGTTGATATGTAAGAGAAACAGTGTTGGAGCCAAGACCGATCCCTGGGGAACACCCGCGTTGACGTTGTGGGATGAAGAGGAGAATCCGTCAATTACGACGGATATCTTGCGGCCAGAGATAAAGTCAGCCACCCATCTGCAAAGCTTTTCTGGGAGGCCGTAGGATGGAAGTTTGCTCAAGAGGGCAGCGTGCCATAGCTGATCGAACGCTTTCGTGATGTCAAGAGCAACGACATGAGCCTCACCATGAGACTGGATGAGTTTACTCCACAGTTGCGTGACGTAAGCTAGGAGGTCCCCTGTGGATCGTTGGTGCCGGAAACCATACTGCCTGTCGCTAATCAAGCTGTGACGTTCGAGGTAGTCCAGAAGCTCGCGATTTATGCACCTCTCCATCACTTTACTGATAACAGAAAGCAGAGCTATAGGCCTGTAGTTGTAAGGGTCGGTTTTAGATCCTTTTTTTGGGATGGGCTGTACATGAGCAAATTTCCAGTTTTCTGGGAAGGTGCCGGATTCATAAGATATCTGGAAGAGACGCGAAAGAACTGGAGCAAGCTCAGCTGCACATCTCTTCAGTACAATGGCAGGAATCAAGTCCGGACCAGAAGCTTTGTTGATGTCGAGCGACAAGAGCACTCGTCTTACGGTCTTATGCCTGAATGTTACCTCCCGCATAGTGTGGGGAACCCTTTGAATTGACGGCACTTGGGCGTTGGTGGGGACGTCCATGGTGGAGTTGGCAGCAAAGATCTTGGCTAGCACTTCCGCCTTGGCCTTTGAGTCGAATACAATATTTCCATCCTGACACCAAGTGGTGGAAGGCTACTGTGTGAGAAGTTCTTTTCAATCTGCTTGGCCAGCATCCAGAAAGACCGACTGCCATTGCGCTGCGACATTACCCTGTGCCTAACTTTTATATCATGCTGGGTTTTGGCATTGCGAACCGCTTCGTTATATTTGTTTCTGGACTCGACGTCGGCTTGTCTGTTCTCTACAGTGGGGTTTTGTAAGTAGGTTCTGTGGGCCTTGATCTTCTGCTGGCGAGCAGTGTCACACGATTTGTTGAACCAGCCGTTGGACCCTGGTTTAGGAACTTTCACTGTGTGAGGGATGTATTCCTCCATTCCGACGTGGATAATTTCGGTTATTGAAGAACAGACAGTCGACGCATCCGCGTCAGTGAAACAGACATCTCTCCAAGGAAAGCTAGAGAAGAAGTCTCTGAGCCCCTCCCAGTCGGCATGTCCGTAATGCCAAGTTTTGCGGCCTGTGCGAGTTTCTGCGGCCACAGCGGCTTCTGACCGAAACCTAACCTCCACAACACTGTGATCTGAGTTACCCAGGGGGGACAGGACGGCAGTGCTGTAAGGGGCAGGATGCGTGGTCAGAAAGAGATCCAGCAGGCTACTGGCGTGTGACGAGGCGCGGGGGAAAAAAGTAGGGCTCGTCACCAGCTGGGTAAGCCCTTGAGTAAGAGCGAACGCTTCGGCTGCTCGACCTGCTGCATCGGTCTTATTTGAGCCCAACCAAAGCTCATTATGGGCATTGAAATCACCGAGAAGAACTCTCTGAAGCGGGGTGATTGATGTTCAGGAAAAACTATCTCTTTCTAACATATGTGTCTATAGACACTTCTCTCTCGAATACATTGAACTCAAGCCGTCAGACAAATTTGGTTTTCAGTGGAGATTAATGAAACTTGAAACGTGGACCAGCGGAAGTTCTGTTCTGTAAGCACAATGACGGAATGACACAATGGTCAAATGCTTATTACAATTTTTGTACGATAACCGGAAGAAGAGAGAGAGCCACCCCCCCCCCAAAAAGATCTCTAGGGAAAGGTAAATACGCAGAAAATTATTGTCTCCCCGCCCTTCAATTTTCAATCGTCGGTAACCCTCCTCCTTATTTTTCCGTTGTCACAAAATCACAAGAATATTCGCCAGAAGTCCCGCCACCTCAAAATGTCCCTCTGGATCCGCCCTCTGTGAACGAACAGGTGACTTACAATCCTTCATCCTCACCCCCCGCTTTTCAGTGGATTCTTGGAGTAATATTATGCCTAATCCCCCTCAACTTCGCTCTTCAGTTATCGTCAACAGGTAGGCTACTTAGGCCTTAGGCCAGTTACTACTACACCTCCCCGGGTGACAAATCCATTCCAATCTCTAACCTGGAGTTCTATGGTTAGACTTCTAGTTAATTTTCACTTTAAGGATTGGCGATTTCTGGCTATTTTCTCCCAAAACTTGCCGACCAACGTGAATGAAAACCTGGCAACCCTGGAGCGATTTAGATTGTACACATGAAAATGGCAGTGAAAAATACGCCTTGTCATAAATTATTCAGATTGTCCACTGAACCATTGTTTTGTGCTCTATAACCATGGAACAAAATCGTCGTAAAGTGCAATTATTCCATCATGATGGATCGATTCTCGCGCCAAATGTTTCATATTAGGTTATCTTTATTTGTTTACGATGTCCAGCCGCAGATTTAAAACAGTGGTAGTATTTTTTAAATGAAATAAACGTGCCCTCAATACCCTACAGTATTACAGAAGTAACATGGGGATTACGGGTTTACTTCCATTTTTAGAAAAAGCAACCAAACCTTGCCATATATCTGAGTTCAGAGGTGGAACGGTAGCTATAGATGGATATTGTTGGCTCCACAAAGGAGCCAGTGCATGTGCCATACAATTAGCGCAGGGAGAGCCTACTCAAGTGTGAGTACCATGGCCAGTTACAGCTTATTGAAATTTTTCACTGAAGATATGGCTTCAGTTTTGATTTCGATGCATTTTTTAGGTATATTCATTACTGTGTGAAATACTTAAAGCTTCTGCAGTCCTATGACATCAAACCAATCATGGTTTTTGATGGAAAAAATCTACCTGCAAAGGCAGACACAGAAGCCAAAAGACGAGAATCGCGGGCCAAAGCTAAACAAAGGGCTCGAGAACTTTTGCAGCTAGGCAAAACTGATGAGGCCCGAAGTTATTTGAAGCAGTCGATCAATGTAACTCCAGAAATGGCTTCAATGGTGATAAAAGAATGCCATCGACTCTCTATTGATTGTATTGTAGCACCATACGAATCAGATGCTCAATTAGCCTTTTTCAATTTAAAAGGTAGGTTTCAAAGTTTTATTTTTCATATCATTTTTTAAGACAACATTTATATTGTCTTTCATTGTTGCAAGTGAATGAGACATGGTACAAGCATGTAATTTAGGGTGCTGAATTCAAACATGACTATCAAAAGAATGTAAAGTATCATAGAGCAGAATTTTGATAGATATTTTTTTTTTTTTTTTATATTCCAACTACCATCAATATAGGGGGATACAGGGGAAAGGGGGGAACGCCACACGGACTCTGGAGAGGGAACACGTGTGTATGCAACATGCACACATTCTGGCTCCGCCTACGAGATCTGCCAGGTGGTACCTCCACGTTCGACAGTCAGAGACTACCACAGAGTCTACCACCTACGATATAATAAATATCATTGTTTTTTCTGCACAGGAATTGCAGAAGTTATTATAACTGAAGACTCAGATCTAGTACTATTTGGATGTACAAAAGTTATGTATAAAATGGACCTGCAAGGCTGTGGATACCTTGTTGAAGCAGAAAAAATACCAGAAGCTATGAAGTTGACTCTGAACAAATACAGTTTTGATAAATTCCGACACATGTGCATTTTGTCTGGTTGTGACTATCTTGTTTCCCTGCATGGCATTGGACTGAAGAAAGCTCTTAAATTCATATCATTGACCAATGAAACTGATCCTGAAAAAGTGAGTAATCTATAAAATATTTTGCCTTTTTTGGTCTGGTTAAGTTATAGTACATGGGAAAATGGTCAGATATTAGTATTTTACACTATATTGAAGTAATTATCCAAACTATGACAAAAAGAAGTTAAACTGGCTGAAAATTTTATTCCTGCATGCAAAAATCAGTATCTCCTGAAAACTGACGCCTAAGTAAATCCAAAAAAATAATTTTTCCTAAAGAAATTTGGGCATAATCACTATAACACTTGACTAATAAAGGTGAACTGTGAATATTTCATCATTTAGCTGAGAAAGCTTATTGACTCATGGGGGATTTAATATTACTGTTTTTTTTTCTTGTAACTAAAAAAGCCTTTTTATATAATTTTATTCAAAATGTCCTTTTAATTCCAGTTTCTCAAAAACCTGCCCAGATATTTGAACATGCGCCATCTACAAATAACTGAAGAATACAAAGAAAATTTCATGATTGCAGACGCGACATTTCGACACCAAATTGTATTTGATCCTTTCAAGAAAACGCTAGTGCCACTAATTGATCCAGCAGTCAGTGGGACAAATCCAAAATATTGTAAGAATGCAGGAGAAATCACTGATCATGAAAAAGCTTATCAAGTAGCTCTAGGCAACTTACATCCATCAAATTACTCAAAGTTGGACGACTGGTCACCTGCAAATAGTGTATGTATATATTATGACTTTAACGCAGGGCTTTTTTGCCGAATTTCTTTATTTAACGGGCTTTTTACATTTTTTACAGAACTTATCAAACAACAGTATTTGGTCTGGAACTTACAAAAGAACGTTATCAAGAAAGGAACAAAAGCAACAGATCAAATCTTTCTTCACTATGAAGAAGCAGACTGTTGCAGCAACAACGGTGGTAGACGAAGAAATAGTTAAAAAAGAGGAAGAGGTGCAGATCAATAAAGAATTATCTTTTTATACTCAGAAATCCCCCAAAACACCCGAGAAACTTCCAGTCAAGAGTGATGAGGATGTTGATGAAGATACACTGTCTCCTGTACTGTCACAAGATGTCAAAAAAAGGATTTCGAGATTTCCACGGACAGAAAATCCCAATCCTAATGTTAGAGTGATAAGTCGTTTTTTTTGTCGGAACAAAACTGTAAAATCTGAAACTATAACCAGTTCTCAAGAGTTGACCACAGATGAGTCTTTGGCAGAACTAGAGTCACTCAGATTGTCTAGCCAACCTGCTCACAGTAATTTGGATAAAGAAAAAAGTGACTTGTCTTTGGAAGAAGATGATGAACCACATTCCATACTATGTGAAGATATAGACAAATCTATTAGTGATAGAATGCAACCAGTTTTGGTTAGTGACAACGAACAAGAGTATAAAATTTGTTCAGACGTTGAGATTGTTGAGACGATGGAGAATGATGAAAAGTCCATGGAACAGAAAGTAGGAATGGTAGGTTTCAATTTTTGGTCGTCATTATTTTACTTCTGAACTTCTCGCACAGTAGCCATCCACCACTTACGTGTCAGGATGTCAGAAGTGCTTGCCGAGATCTCTGCTGCCAACTCCACCATCAACGTCCCCCCAATGCCCAAGTGCCCTTGATTCAGGCATAAGACCGTAAGATGGGTGCTCTTGTTAGGCCTTACCTGGACCTAGAGTGAGCAGGTGGGTCAGCTTTGAGTAAGAGCGAACGCTTCGACTGCACGACCTGCTGCATCGGTCTTGTTTGAGCCCAACCACAGCTAATTATGGGCATTGGAATCACCGACATTGTGGAACAATGTACAAGAGGAAGCTTTTCCCAGTTCTACTAAACTTAGGCAGTCCAAAAATCGGACTAACAGAATTTCGTTGGGATCCTCATAGCATCCGCGGTGTGCCCGCATTTAGGCTCCTGCCTGCGTGGCTGCTTCGGTAAATAAATAAAAAAACAGTTACTTTTTTATTAATACCTTTTTTTATAAAACTGTGATGTGTAACCAATCTGCAAACATTTTATCAATATTTTCTTTTTTGTTTGTTACAGCATATAAGCGAGACCTCTCTTAGTAAAAGAAAGAAACTGGGCCCATGCAGGACATTGGGGTTAAAACGTATTAAGCCTAGTGGACAAAAAACTATTGACCAGTTATTCAGTAACTTCAGGAAGAAATCTCCACCAAAGCTTAAACAATAGATTTTTAAATGTTACATTCTTACATTTTCATTAAAGAATTTATATTTTTTTATTTACTCTTCTATTTGTATTCTTTGCTTAAATGTCATAAGGCATAATCGGACCTAAGTCCCGTGTATTATATTTCAAGCCTTTAGATCAGGAGAGGTCACTTATAGTCACAGCGGCAGATTTAGGAAGCCAGAGGAAATTAAAAATATGATCTTCTAATTATCTATAATATAGAAATACTCTTCTTTATCCTCGTCTTAGAGTTTCTTTTACATTTTGAATTGCAACTATATTTGTGGCAGGGTGTACCCTCGCGCTTAGGGCTCTAAATGCTAATTAGCCAGGTGACAATTTACAAGTATTATGATAAACTTATTTTCGTAAAGTTTTAAAAATCACCCGCAACAAGTGTTATTTATAACTTTATGGAAACAAGTTATTCGTAAAACCTGCAAGTTGACACTTATCCAGAGGCGTATTTACCCTAGGGCCAAAATGGCCATGGGCCAGGACCTCCGGCTTTGATGGGCAGCTCAAGCCGCCTCAATCAAGAGTTTTTGCTTTTCTTTTTTATGGGGCGGCACAGCTGGAGAGCCCTAGGACACTGAATCTTAAAATACGCTTTTGCACCTAGCTGATAAGTTTGGAGGCTTCTACGCCAGAGAATCCACGATTTAAATCAGAGAATTGTCGATTAGGAATTCAAATTTTTCCTAACCCCGCAAACTTTCAAGCAAAGGTGTTCATTTGAAAACTTTTTACCACAGATTTATCGAAAACCACTGATTAAAAGAAAAAAACGCCAAGACACGTCAAAAGATTTGTCAAGGGGACAACTTTTTAACCAAAAACTACTTTACCCCCTTTCACCCTCTGCCCCCAGGGTCATCCCCTTGAAAATTTTAAATGACAAGGGGTATCGAGTGATAGCTTGTTTGAAAGGTCTTTCTAATTCCTTTATTTCGACGTTAAATTTTAAAAAAATCGGTCGATAGATAGAAAACAAAAACACATGAAAATATCATCTTTCTTATTTCAATAAGTGTTCAAAATGTTGCCCGTTATTGGCCAAACAATGATATAGGCGATGTTCAAATTCCTGACGGACATTTTCAAAAACATGTCTAATGGCGTTAAATTAGGATATCTAGCAGGCCATTTTATAGGCCCTACTTCACCCTCTGCCCCCCAGGGTCATCCCCTTAAAATTTTTGAATTACAAGGGGTATCGAGTAACAGCTTGTTTCAAAGGTTTTTCGAAGTCCTTCATTTTGACGTTTGAGTTTTTACAATGGTCGATTCGTTTTCAAGAAAATTAGAAAAATCTTTATTTATTTATTCTCTTATTTTTTTTTATTCACAAAACTCAACTCGCCTATTGAAATAATCTTCCGTTAACTCCTGCAATATTTTCATTTTGAATGGATGTCTGGCTTTAAACGAAACAGCAATTTGTCGAGCACATTGATTTTGGGCACCATAAATTAGAATCATTTCCACTTATTGAAATACAAAGTGATATTTTCGGGTTTTTTTTCTATCTGAACAAATTAAGATAAATAATGATTTTTCTAATATTCTAGAACATGATTTGGCTAATTTTAAAAAATCAAACATCAAAATAAAGGACTTCGAAAGGCCTTTCAAACAAGCTATTACTCGATACCCCTTATCATTTAAAATTTTTAAGGGAATGACTGGGGGCCGAGGGTGAACTAGTTTTTGGTTAAAAAGTTGTTCCCCTCGACAAATCTTTTCATGTGGTTTGGCGTTTTTTTGTAATCAGTGGTTTTCGATAAATCCGTGGTGGGAAGTATTCAAATGAACACCCCGAATATTATTCCATGGCAAAGATATTTTTGATCCTGCCATTACCATCCCTAATTGATATTGGCGACATTGGTAGCAATTTTATTGCTCAAGTCATTGACGGGTAAGACGTCAATGGTTCAAGTTATTCAACATGGCTCGGATTTCAAATACTCGATGCATACTTACAGTGTCGTACAACGTTGCCAAAATGTCAGCAAGCTTGTTCGTTAACTATGTAATCAAACGGAAACAGCTTTCGTGATGATAAACTAATTTACCAATTTACTATTCGTGATAGCATTGTTGCCAATAAAGCTTGAAGTAATAAATTTCAGTAGAATTTCTATAGTTTCATACTTGCCTAAAGAGACAGCTCAAAAATCGGATCAACAGAAACAAGATATTGTCACGGAGACGATCCTGAGCCTGTTTCCAATGCTTTTGAATTGAGAGTTGTATGTACCGTGCACTCGGAGTGTGTGACGTTGCCGAACTGCTCTAGCAAATGTGCACGGGAACGCCTAACACTCTAGAACACTGGAACGGTATTGACATTGGTGGATAGGTGCGATAGCTCCGAGTTACTCCGAGTAACACAAATGAAAGTACCTTTGCAAGGTTTTACACGCGCCAGCTCGCTAGGTTAAAGCTTACGAACAGATATCCTAAAACACATCCGCTGATGAGTATGCATAATCAGCAATGATGTAATATTATCAGCCGAAATGGGGATATTATTGATTAAAAGAACTACTTGGGAAGACACGTGAAAGCATTCTCGTTCCGGAGGCAACTTCTTGTTATAGCTGGAGCTGTCGCAGTACCTCGGTTACGCTCTCCATTTGTAGTTACTTCACTATAGAAGATAATGTTTCATAATTTGTTCAATTTCATTTACTATTTTATTTTTGTTTATCCAGAATCTAGAAAATTGAGTCGCATTGGCATTTGCTGGATTCCACTGCGAGTATGGATTGAGGTCATCGAGTATACTGCGAGTCCTCAAATTCCGTGGCTGCTTTACCTTTGAAGACTTTTCCAGCCCAAAATACACCACTCGTAGTTTTTTATGGCGTGATGTACTTTTTCAATATTTTCATGATTATCGTGCTTGATGTGTCAGTGACGGAAATCCTATCAAATGCAACGTACCTAACCTTTGACAAACTCTAACCTCTAGTCTCTAGTAAGTACTCTGTGGTTTTGTGACTGCTAATGTCAACCTAATGGGGAAAATTGGAACTTCGGTTTCGTGTACTCGGAGGTTGGAGGAGGTAGTTTTTCTAGAATAAAGTTTGCAGCATTTAAAGCCCCCTTTAAAGTGAATTTTTATTTTATTTTATTTCGTATCAAAGGAATTGATATTCTAATCACCACAAGCAATGACTCGTAAGTAAAATTATATAAATCCCTCTTTCTTGCAGATAAATTATATGCACAATCTCCTTTGTAGGTGGCAATCAGAGAGAACTAGCCAGACAAAAAAATCAGAAGAAACAGCAAGAACAGAAGAAAAAAAATAGCGATGGGCTCACTCTAGAACAAAGAAAGTTCAGGTAATAAATCTTTGATTGGTATATCTATTTTGTCACACTCCATTGAATGCCTATATTTGGATGTAGATGTTTATCTAATTCTCAAAAGTAATCTGATCAAAGGAACGCCTCAAAATGTGATGTTGCATATCAGCACATAATTACTATTTTAGAATATAAAATTATAAATACAGGATTCTGATATTTCTCAATTTGGGATTCAAATACACTACAATATTGAGGAAATCCTCAAAACAGTATCGATCTCTATGTGAAACCCTGGTTTAGCTTTGGATTCCCGATTTTCCCCTCATTTTTGCATGTATTTTGGTTGAATGTTGGATTTATTGCATTTGAACTTGTATTTATCATTCAGTTAAGTTCAAGTATGAAAGCAAATTTGTTTTATTTACTTTCCAACATATTAAAAACATTGATTGTAATCAATTTTGAGAATTGTGTAAACATGTATAATAAGCTTTGATAACTAAATATAAGTTCTTTTGTTTTCATGATTCCATGAGGTATCCGCATTCTTGTGAAAAGAATAATATAGAACAAAGAAACATGATCATTTTTAGATTTGACTGCTTATTAGCTAAGGCATTTGCTATATCTTAGCACCTTGTTTAATATAAATATAGGTTCTAAATTGTCCCCTTACTATGTTGAAGCTATAATTTCTAAACAGAAAAAAGTCTTAGTAGTTGATAGAGTTAAAATTTTGTACATGTAATACTAACAGCATAATCAGTACACAGAAAAAAGTATGGCTCTAACTGTGGGGCGCATTTTGTGCAGGGAGTATGCTAATTTGCCATGGGAAGTTTGGTTCCTATTTAAAGTGGACCATGTTCTGCATGTTGGTTCAAAATTAGGTGGCTTATTAGGTCTCTGACAAAGTCTTTTACACTATATGCCTTTATATTAACCAAGTGCCTTCAGAACTTCCTTTTAAAGATGCTCTCATTGTTAATTTTATTGTGTTGGGCAGGCGGTTGAAAAATTTCAGAAATGCATAATATGGAGTCTTTTCAGTTAAAGTTAGTCTATGCCTTGGATAAATTTCTTGTGTTGTAGGTATACACTTTTAGGTCAAACATATCTCTGTTCTTAAAAAAGAAAACCAAAGATTCATATACAAAGGGCACTATAAAAGTTTTGGAATATGACTTGACAAACGGACGCAGGAGGCTCCATGTTGAGACATGTTCATGAGTGCATAGTAGCCGCAAGCAGCACGTCTGTTGATTTAGTTGTTCATTGGTATTGACAGTGTAAAGTGCGCACTATGGCATCGTGGTCATATAGTGAGATAAGGGCAGTTTTACGGGATAACTTTACGCGTGGTTTAACACGAGCACCATCTGCTGAGGTAATGGGGGGAAAAGGAAACGATGGTAGACTGGCTTTAGATGCTCGTCGGCGCTACTTTAAAAGAGGAAAGGATGACTCCAGGTGCAAATTTTTATAATAACAAAGTCGGATTTCGATTAGCGATCTAGCCTGTAAATCGTTTCCTATTTTGGTACTCAGCAAGTGATCATTTAGTATTGTTCTACCCTTGTTACTGTCCATCGATATTGTGTTGTTGAATTGTTGTGCTGTACTCTTGTTGGTGTGATTGTTCTTGAGTGCCTTTCTTATCAAGGTTGATAATGGACAATAAAAAAAAAATCACAGGACTGTAGTTTGTGGCGTCTTCATCGGAGGATGAGGTTAACAGCGTCTCGATTTGGTGAAGTTTGTAGAAGAAGGCAGACAGCAAGCTCCAAAGTTCTAGTAAACACCGTCATATACCCAACAGAGTTTTCTAGTAAGACAATAAAAAAAAGCAATACAAAAACCATGGGACACGGCAGTTCAATCTCGTGGTTTGTTTATTTATCGCACACATGCATTTCTGGCAGCATCACCTCCATCTACCTATTACAGTAGACAAGACATGTACTTAATCCAGGTATAAGCCTACCTGTTTATTGCTTTGCAAAAACTACCTAACTGTTTCCTCTTATTTTGAGGGCATAAGATATTTTTATGACCCTCCTTCAATTGTTACCATCTACCACATGACCCTTGTAAACATAATTGTGTTTAAGGACATGAATAAACGAATTTGAATATGAGTTCTTGAATTTATTTTAGGAAAGATATAAAATGATTCGAATACATTTGTTCTTAGTCGGAACGCACCGTCGTGTCGCTTGGACTGGCAGGACGAAACAGTAGATGAATTTCGCCCAAAAACCGATTGGCACTTCACAGCCTCCGTTTCATTTTTATTATTTCCAAATGAAACTTTTGCAGCGTGCTAAAAACAAAGTCCACGGGGTGCCAGCGATCCACTTTTTCGATTTTATCCACTAGGATCTTTTTAAAATATCAAGAAGTTGAGCACAAATAGTAAGCATTTCAACCCACCATAATTCTTGCGCAAAGACAAAATTTTGTAAAAAGCTCTGATGATAGCACCCTAGGCAATTATGTCCTGCTTATATCCAGAAAAACATCACAAACTGCAGATACAAATTGAAGGTAGCGGCGAAATGGGTACATTTCACGGGTCATGAAATTCAAATGAAAATATAGGTATAAAATCTACCAAATTATCATTCTCAAAAACATTTTGACATATCGATAATTTTAAAGTTCCACGCTAAATTGTCCTATACATGACTGGAGTGATATCCGAATTTATTCTTCCCTACTGTCGGTAGTTGCAGATCTGTTGACTCTAGGTGTCAAACCTATAGAGCAGGTACCGATTTTTTCAAATCGTGAGCACATTATTCGTCAGATTTTCGTTACTTAAATTTCGTATAATTACTGGGAGCAGAAGCTTCTTAGTAATAGAACGTGTTTCACTGATTCCACCCCCCCCCCCCTTTTAAGCAGTACAATTTTTTTATGTCAATGATTAGGAACCCCTGAAATGTCAAAAACGGAGTTTCAGCAAATTTTTTCATTTTTGCCTATAGCACCGTTGTCACTGGACTAAAACTACAAAGCTTTGGCATACTAGTAACCCCGTGTGGAAATTTCATAAAAATCCGAGCGGTAATTTCCAAGTTGATGATGAGTGATACAGTTTTTCGTGATGTAGATGTCATATGACTTAAAAAAACATAACATCTCATTTTAGAAATTTTTCGCGATAACAATACTGCCTCGCCAATGGCGCGGGAAGTAAAACGGCTTTAAAATCGAGGAGTATCAGCGATCACGATTATGAGTACCTATTCGCAGAACGACATATCTACGCGATATTAAATGAAATAGGGCCACCAAAATATCTGAATACTTCCTTTCTTAGTCCGTACATTGCGCCGCAACGCTTGGGTTGGCAGCACGAAATAGACAAAATTCGTCCAAAATACGATTTGTAGAGGTTTGCGGGCTTCGAATTTGACGCTTTATTTTTTGATATTTTTGGATAAAATTTTCACAGTGTGCTGAAAACAAGGGTGCTATAGAGCCACTTTTTCATTTTTTCACTAGGTTCTTTTCGCGAAGTAGAACAAAAAAAGTGCGCACTTGAACCCATCATAAAACCTGTGCAAAAACAAAATTTCAAAAATTGCTCCTATAGCACCCTGGGCAATTATCTTCTCAACATACTGTATGAATTTCATTCAAAAATATTGAAAAATAGAGTATCAGTTTCGAAGCAGCTGAACCCTTGTAAATGGCTTTAAACTCACTGCGTCGGAGCCGCCTTAAGCATAGACCGGTGCTTAGAAGAAATTACGCTTGCATTAAAGAATGATTGTCATGATCGTACGACTATATTCAGGTGGCCCCAAAGGGGCAATTTCACTCTGGAGGACGATGAGAAGGAAGGAAGGCTGTGAACGTCAGTAATAGAGGAAAACTACTGCTGTGAGAAAAATGCTTGACGAAAACCGGAGACCTTACACCTTCATGCACCAGCAATTCCTTTAATTCTGCATGACCATTTACACCTAAGGAAACTTTGTTCTCTCCGGGTACCGCATAGTCTGACGGAAGAGTAGAACACTCATCGTACGACTTGGTGCCGAAAGATGCTGAAAATGTTTGATAAGGGGCAATCTCGGTATGTGAACAACATTGTGACAGGTGAAGAGACTTGGCTCTATTATTACGATGTACCGACCAAGGCTCAAAATAAAGTTTGGGTCTTTGATGATGAGGATACACCCGTAGCTGTCAGAAAATCTCGATCCGTTAAGAAAAAAAAAATGATAGCTGTATTTTTCAAATCGAGCGGGATTGTGGAACGTGTCGCTTTGGACACACGGAAGACAGTCACAGCTAAGTGGTACACGGAACAGAGTCCGCCTAAAGGTATAGAGTCTATAAAAAACCTGTGGCCAAAGTCAAGAATGGTCACTTGGTACCTCCACCATGACAACGCTCCAGCTCAACGCGCCAAAGCCTGCACCGAGTATTTGACCACTATTGGACTGAAACTTATTGAGCACCCTCCTTACAGTCCAGATCTTGCTCGCTGCGACTTTGCACTGTTTCCGCAGTGAAAATGAAACTAAAAGGAAAACGGTTTTCTAGCAATGAGGACCTTCTGCTGTATTGTAAAACTTTTACAGTACCCTTTGTATGTATAGTCCATATACAGTCAAGAGGCCATTTGATCTAAAAGTACCTTTACAACTATCTTTATACCCCATATTCTTAACTATTCTAAGCACCTTTTTTGTATAACAAAGATTCTATGTACTACCACAGAAAATAAGTCAATACCTAAGCACTGATTCAAAGTTTGCATAATGTAATACTTTTCAGACTCTTGTCATTCATATATCTCGCAATTACCCCAATTCCATAACAAATTGAACTTAATCTTTGACATACCTCAGAGGTGTGGTGTGACCAGTCCAAGAATTTCTAAATGAACACCAAAAAATTTTGTATTACATATTGATTGGAACTATGTCGGTTTGTCATTCCTTGTGTGTTATATATTAATGCGTAATGCGTACTCGTCAATTTATTTGAACGAACTATCATATACTGAATAACGTAAATTGAAGGTTAGGCGAAATGGGCGGGTACACCCTATTTCACGAGTATCCATCACGGATAGTAATATTTCAAAATTTTCTATATTGGCAAAGGACATATAATTCTGACGGATCCGTTAATGCCAGGTGGATAAAACAATATTTTCTTTAGGTTTTTTGTACGCTAGAGATTCATTTTGTACTCACTAAAAGCTTTATTTAAAAAAGTTCATTTGCATACAAGAAACAAAACGTTAAAAACAAATTTTTGCTAGATTTACACTCGATTCATTATAGCCAACGTTGCAGACTAACACAAAAATGTCAAATTTCAAAAACTACGAAGCTTATCCATCCTTGGCATAGAAGTAACATTATGTAAAAATTTCATCAAAATCCGAGCGGTACTTCTCAAGTAATAGGCGGTTATAAGATTTTAGCGGACAGACTACGGAAATGAATGACATGGTTTTTCGTCATGTACATGTCGTATAACGTCCAAAGAACAATATCTCATTTTCGAAATTTTTCATGTTTTTTTGGATGTGCTTTCCACTATATGAATATTGCCGTTATTTTTTGAATCTCTGTATGCAAGTGAATTATTCTCTATTATGTGCATTTTTTACAGAGACGCCGAAATAATGAAAGAAAAACAGAAAAAGAAAGAGATGGAGAAGGTTCAAAGGGAGCAACAGCAGAACAACCAACCACAACAGTGTGCTCAAGCATGTAAATAATCTTTATTATGTTTAAGCATTATGTAAAATATTCACAATGTGTGCTGTTTTATAATTAAGAAAATGACTATGTTTGGTTTATTATTATTATTCTTACTTTACCAGAATTAGCAGATTTATTTAACGTTATTCATTTATTATGTAGTGACCATTTTCGACTATGTGAATGTATATTACGTTCTCCAAAATTCAGATGGTATTATTATTTAGTTTAGACAATAAGTAGATCTTTCTTTGTATTTCTCTATTTGTAATTAAACAAGAAAAATCGATTTGTTGTTTTATTATAATTTACAATTATTCTCTATAATCTGTTGTCATTTCCAAATCAGACGCCAATTTGACGTTAGAATGCAGGGGTCAAAACGACCCATTTTCTACCTGAAATTCGGATCTACAGGTCAGGATTTGTTGAGTGCCCAAGCTGTATTATGACCTTGTCGAAATCCAGATTGTTTAGATGGAATAATTTTGTTAGAATATAAGTAGGCGCAGAGCTGCTCGTAAACAATGCGTTCCAATACTTTAGAAAAAAATTGGCAGTAGACTGATCGGTCTCAGTTGACCATAGTTAGTAGGATCAGAACACTTAGGTAGCGGAATAACTATAGCGCGTTTCCACTGATTGGGGAAATATCCCCTCTCTAAACAGCAGTTTATAATATGGGTTAAGTACACATCAATTTCAGGTATACATAGTAGTATCATATGCAAAGTTATTCTATCTGTACCACTAGAATTTGATTTTATTTTATGTATAATTTTAACAACGGTGTCAATAGTCACTTTATTAAATTGAAATTAACATTTTGAGCTATTTTTATTGGCTCGGTAACATGCAATTTTATCAGCACAAGCCAAATCACTATTCTCGAAAATTGAAATGAATGCCACATTTATTTTATACGGATCTGACTAGCTCACGGGAATTGTAGAATCTTTCTGAGATTGTACTTTGAAAGTCTTTAGGGTCTTATAAAACTTTTTTATATCCTGATTTTGAACAGCTTGTAATTACTCTCTTTTTCCTCTCTGCACGAGCGTTAATGCACGATTTCTGAAATACGTATACTGTTGCCAAGAGGCAGCTGCACGATTACGTTTGAGCTTTGACAAAGCTTCAGCTCTCTGCTTGAATACAAGTTTAAGATTACCTTTTTTGGACAGTGAACATTAAATACACATAAAATACTATCTATTAAAAAATTAATTTTATCTTCCATGTCATCTATCGATATAATATGCCACCATGGAAAAATCGGAAAAATCTACACCCTGTGATGATCTTATAGTTCCCATTACTACAAATTTCCATTTTTTCTCAGACGGAGTGACGGACAGTGTCATGATTGTGTAGTGCCACCATGTCTATATACACCGCAAAGGAATACGCCAACATGTACCTCATGTATGGGGAAAGTATATGCAATTCTAGAGCAAGGCATTTTAGCGTGAGAGGTACCCAAATGCTGCTTGTCATCCCGAGTTTAAAAAAATGAAATTTGTGGTAATGCGAACTAACACATCATCACAGAGGGTCTAGATTTTCCCGATTTTTTTAAAGCTTTTTTGAAAAGTACGCGACTTACTTTTTGGACGGTTCACACGATCACGGTTCACGATTCAGTTTATTCCTTGAAGCGTAGGAAGAGCTTCTGGTTGAAAGTAGCGCAGTTCTGAATTTAGTGTTTAGTGGTATGTAGAGAAAAGGTTGAGAGAGTCACGTGGATTGATAGAAAATGGAAGAAAAAGCTAGTGGACACTTGCAAGGCGAAATCTTAGCGCATCTATCTAGGCCATTATTCCTCGGTGGCTGTATAACAGGAGTGGACAGTCTATAGATGATTTCCAAAACTATTATACTGCTTCGTTGGTAGGTATAGTAGGTAGTGGATTAGGACCCCGCAGTTTTACCATTGTGTGTTTTGTTTGTGTAATTTCAAATATTCCCAATTTCATTGTTTTTCACAATCCGAACTTTGCTAAGCAACGCCCAATACGCTGTGTTCGAGTGATTATGTACCCAAGGCGCGTATCAAATACAATAATTAATTGTGCCTCTTTTGGTTTTTTAGTTCAACATTTTAATTTGTTTAAGAATCTTCTTTTTAGAATTTCACGTGACACAAAACTTAAAATTCAAAGCAATATCAAAATGATGCATAAAATTGGACTAAAGATGTTTCAAGAACTCAAAATTCCAGGATCGGATTCAGTTTTATTTCATTGTAATTACACAACACCCTGTAAGTTATACTCTGAATTTATTATTACTTCCCAGAAAAAAGCAGTACATGATGTAAGCAAAAGGAAAAATTAATGGAATGCACCCTATTTAGCTTTTTCATCAATTTTTCAATGATTTAATTCTATCAACTGATGTAATAGAAGAGTCCGCAAAGGGAAACGGCATCCTCATACACTTATTTTTTGAACTAATCAATAACTGGCAAATAGTATATTAGTAAAAATGATAATTTGGCGACTGAGTGTTATCTTGCAACACTTTTTTAAATGGAACAGGGGGTGGAGTGAAATGTCACTTCAAAGCCCTTTACGAGTACCTAACTATAATATATAAAACCAGTGTCTTCCAGAATGAAAGACTGGTCGGCTGTCAAAGATGAACGTTTTTGTTTTGAGTCGTTTATACCTCAAAAAAAACATGAATAGGTTACAGCGTGTTATATACTAAGTGACATATAAATCCGAACACCCAGTTTAAATGGTTTTATTTTAATAAAATTTTGTATAAGTACTTAATGAAGCATAATAAGTAAATGATAAAAATTTCAAAATGATTGCACTGCTTTAAAGCCCTTTGACCTTTAATAATGTGTGGATGCACCCTGATGTGCTACGCATTCTTCAACGCGCCTAGGCATGCTTCTGATTAGGTGGTCAATGTCCTCGTGTGGTATCTCATTCCAGGCAACCACCAACTCCTCTCGAAGTGCTTCTAGAGTCTGAGGAGGACGTTGCAAATTGAGCAATCTCCTACCCATCATATCCCACACGTGCTCAATTGGGGATAAGTCGGGAGATCTTGGTGGCCATGGTAACAATGTGACATCATTATGTTGAAAGAAGTCTATTGTGACTCTTGCAACATGTGGTCGGGCATTATCTTGTTGGAAAGTTGGATCTGCCAGGGTGTCAAGATAAGGTAAAAGATGGGGTTCTAGAACTTCGTGGATATAACGCTGCGCGTTCATGTTACCTCTGATGAAGATTAAAGGTGACCTGGAACCATAAGCTATAGCACCCCAAACCATAACTCCAACAGTGTGATGAACATGTCTTTCAACAAAAAACTGTGGATTCCTCCTTTCACGACGTCGCCTTCTAACCCTGGCACGACCATCGTGCACGCCTAAACAAAATCGAGACTCGTCACTAAAGACAATACTGTTCCATTCCTGATCCCAGAGTGACCGTTGTCTGCACCACTCAAGGCGATTACGTCGGTGTTCTCGAGTTAAAGGGAGGACCCAGTGTGGCCGGTATGAAAACAAGCCAAAACTTCCCATTCGTCGGTAAACACTTCGCATGCCAATAGGTCTTCCGTGTTCTGCAAACCATTCACTTGCAATGGACCTGGTAGTGGAGAAACGGTCCCTTAAGGCCAATAATCTTAGGCGGCGATCTTCACGGTCTGTTGTTCTACGGCGGCGTCGAGTGCCCCTTGCTCTTTGCGTACGGCCTTCTCGAAGCCATGCCTGACAACACCTAACCACAGTGTCTACACTTCTTTGCACTCTAACTGCAATTGCCCGAAAATAAAGTCCAGCTTCCCGAAGTCCCACTATACGGCCCCTATCAAATTCACTAAGTTGACGAAATCGTACAGGTCTCCGTACTCTAGGCATCGTAACCGATCGTAAAGGATGTCAAGAACCAAAATCCGCCAACGTTGATTCTTTACTGCGGCTGAAATATTCATTTTTAGAGCGTTAGTGAATTAAAAAAAAGCAGTATAAAAACCGGAATGTCCAACTGATAAGGCTGAAAAATTTTTCACTTGTTATTTACAGTAAGATAAATACATTCACCAACTTATATTAAAATAAAACCATTTAAACTGGGTGTTCGGATTTATATGTCACTTAGTATATATACAGGGTGTAAAGTTAGTAGTGGATCAACGAAAGTCAGGTGATAGAGGGCCTCAAAACATATCGAATGAACCCGTATATGTGTAGTCCGAAATTGTATAGTTCAGGAGATATTTGCAATTTGAAATCTCTAAAAAAAACGGGATAATGTACTTTCAATCGCAATTACAACTAAAGCATTATTATGATGGCATAGACCATCGAAAGCTAGAGACTAATAAAGTATAAAGAGTCCTTATTGCTTGAATCGTGTCGAAGTACCCAACTAAAGGCGGAAGCTTTATTTTTCACATATATATATAAAAGATCTATCTGAATATGAAATATGAAACATTCCATATGAAATAATTTTCGAAATCTTTCGAAAAAGCTGAATATCCCACAAGTTTTATGCACATTCAGATATATCTGAAGATTATTGTAACATACCGTAACGTTTTGATGATTAGTTGTTGAGTTTTAAGCGATTCAATATAAAAAAGGGCTCAACTTTGACAGCCTTCCAGGCCACCATTTTGAAAGATAATGATTTTTTATTCTAAGGTTACGCAGTTTTCAAAAGACGAGATCCGCCGGGTGGTACCTCCACGTTCGACAGTCAGAGACCGTCTACCACCTACGGACAATCACAACATCCATAGCCAAGAGAAAAATTTCTTCTGGGACGGGACTCGAACCCGCACAGCGCACGGCGACTGATCAGGAGACCGAAGAGTCTACTACTGCGGCCACCGCTGCTGCCTAGTTTTTAACCCTTACAAATTTTACAAAGCCTTTGCGTCCTTGGCGGATAAAAGATTAGAGGACAGACTGACAGGCATATAGACAGACAGAGCGACGGAAATGTGCGACATGGTTTTTTGTGAGGTACATTAGGGTGTCCCCACTATGAGGGTAGACAAACTTTCGTTCGAATTCAGATACGCATACCCTCTAATTATTTTTACATTTGACTCTAGCATCTCAAAAAATAAGTATTATTGCGATCGGGCAACGAAAATCCGTGCTGACTTTGGCCGGTAGGCGTGGGAAGTAAAAATGTTCTAAGCGCCCAGCTGCCATCTTGCAATTTCTAGCTGTTATTTTTGCGCAAAGATCCAGTACCCAGCGTGCTAATTTGACCCGTTCCAAAAATCAATATGGTGAGTTTTTTTGAAAGCATTGTCTGAGGGGTGCCGATTTTACTTCTCATCAGCAACCCTCTCTAGTCCGACCCTGTAAGGGATACCGGCCATCCAACCCCTCATAACTATCGAGGTATCTGGGTATTGATTTCAAGTAGCAGATGGTGGAGCTTTTCTGTTCTCAAACGGAGTGGTTATGGCGGACAGGGTTGCAGCCACGTGTAGTTTGACGCATGTCATTCGCAAGGGATGCATCGTCAACCCTAAAAAATGATATTTCGCGAGATATTCCCCAGATTTGTCACCGGTAGAAAGAAAGTCGAGTTAAAGTTGAATTCTCACACCCTTATATCTTGACCTCTAGGTTAGGGGTAGGTGCTCGCGTTTTTTCAAGTACGCAGCATTTGTACGAATAATATTGCATGCGCGAACAGTGATTGTGGGTATTTATGTTGTCTTTTTTTATTTAACGGCAAGTATCGGGGGTATTTTTTCGCGAGCAAATCAATGTGCAAAAATGGACAACAACGTATTGGCTAAATGGTGCAGAATCTGTTACTCGGAATTGTCTTCCGGATTCAATCTTTTTGGCGAAGAAGCTAGAAAATCTTTCCTCCATGCGAAAATTAGGAAATATCTGTCACTTACAGTAAGTATGCATAAGATAAATCGTTAACTCTTCGACCATTTGGAAATCTCACCTAAAAGAGCGGCCGCAATTTTAGCCTGTTTGCCGGACTACAAATTCGATTCAGTGTGAGTTGAAAAGAATTTTATTATATTTTTTGCATGAGGTTAAATGGGCTATGAGAACTAATATTTGCATCGTTATCAAAATATGACAATTTAGCAAACTATTTGTATATAACATAATATGATATGTAGAATTCACATAAAACGACTTTACCCTAAATTTAACATAATTTAACGATGCTATTATAGCTAATTTGTTTTCCATTTTAACCCTTCAAAAAATCTCACTTTAATCATTGGTAAATTAAAAACAAAATGTAAACAAGATTTAAAATTTGTGGAAAATGAAAATTTCAATCCGAAGTTTTATTCATCATATATTTAAATCGAAGTTACGAGGTTCGCTAAACAGGCTAAAATAGCATTTTACTCGACTACTTCATAAGGGGGGTTATGTTTTTCAAGCGTGTGTACCTATGTATGTGGACAAGAATAGGTCTAAGGTGGGTGGATCATGGAAGGTCACCCGGTCTGTCCGATGGCGAATTGGCCTCCTCACTGTAAAAAATAAGTATGTAGTTATTATTCCTTTACTTACTCTATAAATGAAACAAACAATATGGCGTTAGAAATCTACGATTTGGTAAATATTGAGGTGGTACAATTTAAACCCGGTACAATATACCCAACCTTCCCCGACGACTAAAAGCTATTTTATAGCACTTGCACCCTAGGGAGTTGGCAACTGTCAATTTCTTGATTGGCCCTACAAGGAAACATTTGTTTTCTTAGGAACGCTGCCGATATTTTAGCTAAAATGCATAAAAGTCACAATTGTTGCATTAGTAGTATAGCAAAAGCATATCAATAAAGAGTCTCTGTGTGTCTGTCTGATTTGGATGAAATTTTCACATAAGTTACCACGCAAGGACGAAAAAGCTTTGTTTTTCAAAATCGATCAAGTTGCGGCGGAGAAATGCCGAAAACGATAAAAAACTTCTAAGCTTCGTTTTTTAACATATTAGAGGATCCTGATAATCTTTTAGACATTTTTTAGGGGTAAAAAATTGGGATGTGGGGTTTCTAGAGAGATGAGGGACGGTTTATTGCAATTTTTTGATGTTAGTATATTAACATATTTCCAACCCCGGTAATTCTTTGCACCTGTTATCCTGTCATCTTTGCAATAGGTTTTGATTTTATTCTATTCTTATTTGGATTCGTCGGATCGGTGTAGGTTACAGAAAATTCAAAACAACTGCTGCATAGTCATGTCTCTTCGAAGATTCAAGACTTAGGTAAATTGATTAAAGATGGAATGACAGTTTGAAGGTGTTTGTCCATACAGTAGTCGCACAACCGTACATTTTAGAAGAGTTGGTGTCAAGAGGTAACATTAATCAGAGGAATCTCAGACATAACCTAAACTTTAAATAAAATGTATCGCAGTAAAACGATAGTACTTTCCAGGAAACTCGCTAACAAACAGCTGATGGGATAGTTCAAGTATAGCACTCTGATTTAAACTGTTTCAACTGAGCATTTGTCAAATATTTTTTCTTTTTTCTGCATTATATTATTTTGTTGACTCGTGTGTGAGTATTGTAAACACTTTATTTATTTACTTTTTTTATTATTCTTTTTGTTTGTTTATGTATCGAGTTTATCTATGTTACTTTTTCGTACACAGCAAGGTTAAGTGTAAGAGGCTTAACTTCACCTCACTGATGTATTTGTATTAATAAAGAAATTTATTATTATCATTATTAGGCGTGCCAGTCTTCATAAGTGTCTTCGCATGACTGATACTGTGCCGCGTTTGACATATCTCCGATCAGCGGAGAGGCGACGTTGCCAGTTGGCGGGTAGGGAAATAATGTGTATGGACCTGTTTGACGGATTTGATCCGTTTAATTTCCCTGACATATATATTCGAAACTGATTTTCCGTTCCACCAATGACAGCCAAGCATCGATAGCTCTTTCATACTTTTTGGTAACTCATCAGTATCTTCTAAGCGTTGGACCATAGCCAAAACGGCTGTAGCGACTTTGACATTTTGAGATGTCCGTAGATTCGCCTTGATAGCACAATTATAACTTAATTTCTCTCAAATACTGCAATCCGCATAACAGTTTGAACGAAATATACCGTTAAGTTGATGAGATAGTCCATATAACATTTACGTGGGCCCTTATGAGAAGCATTATATATACTAAGTGACATATAAATCCGAACACCCAGTTTAAATGGTTTTATTTTAATAAAATTTTGTATAAGTACTTAATGAAGCATAATAAGTAAATGATAAAAATTTCAAAATGATTGCACTGCTTTAAAGCCCTTTGACCTTTAATAATGTGTGGATGCACCCTGATGTGCTACGCATTCTCCAACGCGCCTAGGCATGTTTCTGATCAGGTGGTCAATGTCCTCTTGTGGTATCTCATTCCAGGCAACCACTAACTCCTCTCGAAGTGCTTCTAAAGCCTGAGGAGGACATTGCAAATTGAGCAATCTCCTACCCATCATATCCCACACGTGCTCAATTGGGGATAAGTCGGGAGATCTTGGTGGCCATGGCCAAGGCGATTACGTCGGTGTTCTCGAGTTAAAGGGAGGACCCAGTGTGGCCGGTATGAAAACAAGAAAAAACTTCTCATTCGTCGGTAAACACTTCGCATGCCAATAGGTCTTTCGTGTTCTGCAAACCATTCATTTGCAATGGACCTGGTAGTGGAGAAATGGTCCCTTAAGGCGAATAATCTTAGGCGGCGATCTTCACGGCCTGTTGTTCTACGGCGGCGTCCAGTGCCCCTTGCTCTTTGCGTACGGCCTTCTCGAAGCCATGCCTGACAACACCTAACCACAGTGTCTACACTTCTTTGCACTCTAACTGCAATTGCCCGAAAAGAAAGTCCAGCTTCCCGAAGTCCCACTATACGGCCCCTATCAAACTCACTAAGTTGACGAAATCGTACAGGTCTCCGTACTCTACGCATCGTAACCGATCGTAAAGGATATCAAGAACCAAAATCCGCCAACGTTGATTCTTTACTGCGGCTGAAATATTCATTTTTAGAGCGTTAATGAAATAAAAAAAAACAGTATAAAAACCGGAATATCCAACTGATAAGGCTGAACATTTTTTCACTTGTTATTTACAGTAAGATAAATACATTCACCAACTTTTATGAAAATAAAACCATTTAAACTGGGTGTTCGGATTTATATCCCACTTAGTATATTTCCTTGTCTGAAACTAAGAAGTGTTTAAAAAACTGATCATATAAACTTCAGAATTGCAAGGTAATCTAATCAGTTTTTGAAATATTTAGCAAGAAATTTGATAATTCCACAGTATTTACTGATTTTGCTGCTACTACGTGTTATCGTTGCGCTGGTGATAACATCGCTGTTTATCAAATATCTTCTTGCAGATATCAGTAGAAGACCACCTTCCTAAAATGATCTGCACAGATTGCTACACCAAGCTAGACGGATTTCATAAGTTTGCGACGATGGCTTTGAAAAACCAAGAGAAAATGTCAAAAGTCATTTCTTGTCAGTCCAGTACAGAAAATAACCAAGCTGAAACGAAATCGCTGCTTCACACATATCTAACAAAGGTAAGTTTGAACAAAGCTCACTGAGAAACCTCATCGTGTAAATCTTTGTTTCTTTTAAAAGTCTTTTCGCACATGCAGCACTAGAGATCTTAAAAAATAATCGATTAATCGCAAACGATAGTTGGGGCTGGTCATTTTTTAACCTCAGTGTTCTATCTGGTCAAGGCCAGCTTGAAAAAAAATGGAAAATGCTCAGAAATCCTCAGAAAACCAATATTTTATTATATCAGAACAAAATAAGTACGTGACATTAATAATTAGCTACTGTAATCATATTAAAGATTCAAACATCAAAAACTCCATTGCTCTGTTAATCGAAAATAAATAAAACAGACACGAAATGGAGTGCACAATTTCCAAAATAATCATGTTTAGGCAGTAGAAAATCCGCATGCTGTAAAAATAACTCATTTTCAACATAGATTTTCATTAAATGTTTAGGCTGGCGTGGTAAATGTCATGCCTATTGGACCCCACTTTTTCCACCTCGACTGACTGGTGAAATTTTTTAGATTTTCTGCGTCACAATCTACCATAATTAGTAGAAGATGTTTCTCTAAATGTATCCATTTAACCAACTTAAAAGAATTTTTAATAACGTAAACTCTCTTATCATGCAACTTTTATATAGGTTATTTTTGGTATATCAACTTCTTTTGACGACTTCTACAAGCTGCTAAAGTAAATTACTCAACTTTTAAAACATCTTTTTTTTATATTCCGACTACCACGAAGGCCTAAGGCCTAAACACCCACACTGACTCTGGCGAGGGAACACGTGTGCATGCAACAGTTCTCTTAAAAAAAAAGTCACTGTCCCAAAATATTTGAGCCGTAGTGTATTTAGCTGGCCAAAACTCAATTTTGTTAATCCATTGGCATTTTAGGATAAGTACTACCCCAAGCAAACTAAATAGTTGTTGATTCAGGTACAATCCCTCCCCGGTACCTGCTACCCTAATCCGTGTTAGGATTTCAGTTGAAATCTAGACGTCGTGGGTGTACTATGTTTCTCACAATTGCTTATGTAGCGTTACGTTAACTGTGAATATTGTCTGTGGGTGTAATTATTGCAAGAAATTTCAATGGATTCTGAAAATTCAGGTAAGACTGCATATATTTTAAGTAATCGTATTTTTTTATCATAACTTTATTAACAATAAGAGCATTAGGAATAATAGCTTTTATTTAAACACTTTTTAGCGTCTATATTATAATCAGGAAACTATAACGTACATTTCAGGCTGCGTCCCTGCTATATTTTTTCATATATCAGACAGAATAGCTCTTTTGCATTATAACTGTACAAAAATAAGCCGCGGTTTTTCGTGATTTAGAGTTATTAAATAATAAGATATAGATAGTGTTGTCCTGTTTGAATCCATTTTGACATAAATTCGTTTTTACTTCATTTCAGGGTTACCAGGTGGTTCCAACACTACACTAGTTACTCGGAAATCTTTATTCGATAGGATGCAACAAGACCTACCTAATTTCAACGAAAAATTAGAATATCTCGCAAACGACCTTTTATTGTGTAACGATTATTCCGATGAAGAAATTAAAGAGGTAAAGCATACATTTTCATATTTCAAGCGAAGGTGGATAAGGGCACATAAAAAAGAGGGTGTGTGTGACAAATGGTTACAAGGACATTTCTCAATCCCTAAAGGTAAGCAGCAGCGTTCTGGTCGACCGCAAAAAACATTTTCAGAATCTTCTGAGAGAACCAAACGTGGAAAAACAAAATCAATTCAAGTGCGATGAATACAGATGTATTGGTGCATGCGGCTCAGACATCATTACAAATTTCTAGTCAGAGGGATGCTTCAACTGTACTTAAAGACCTAACTAAATATCCGAAGCGTGCTGAGAAATACAAAAAGGCTTTTCGTAAGTCCCTGCAGGATAATGAACGACAACTTACACCATTACAAGCGCTATCAATGTTTGTTGAAGCTGACCTTTCAAAGCGGCAGTATGAAATAGTTAGGAGTAGAAACAAAAAATACTATCCAAGTTATAGTGTATTGGAAACCGCGAAAAAAGAATGCTACCGACCTAAAGCATCGTATCAAGTGACTGAGACGAGTGCTGAAGCAAATTTACAACACTTGCTAGATCATACCGTAACACGACTGTTAACGTATTTGGGAGAAGTCTTAAATGATTTTGATCAAGAAGAATGCAGCACATTAGTGTTGATTTGCAAGTTTGGTTGTGATGGTTCACAGCAAGCTCAATTTAAACAAAAAATGGAAAATAATGCTACAGATGCCAATATTTTCCAAAGTTGCTTCGTACCACTTTAGTTAGCTTGCGGTACAAATTGAAAAAAAATAATTTGGCAAAACCCGACACCATCTTCGTTACTGTCGCCCGATTGGAATAAGATTTGTCAAAGAGTCTGCAGATATCACAATCGATGAGATTAGTTGTATAGAAACTGCCATAAATACATTACATAATACTGAATTTACAATAGGAGAGAAATCCTTTTCTGTAAAGCATATAATGAAATTAACCATGGTAGATGGTAAAGTATGTAATGCTGCTAGACATACCTCATCAACAATGAGATGTTATATTTGTGGGGCAACTTCTAGGCAGTTCAATGATTCAACCATCAAGAGGGATATTAATACAGAAACGTTAAGCTTTGGATTATCAGTATTGCATGCCAGGATCAGGGTATTTTAAAGCATATTACACCTGTTCTATAAATTTTCAGTGAAGAAATGGCGAATAAGGTCAAATGAGGACAAAGCTCTTGTAAAACAAAGAAAAGTAACAATACAAGAAGCATTTAGAAGAGAAAGTGGTTTAATAGTAGACGTGCCAAAAGTTTTGGAAACACTAATGACGGTAATACCAGCAGAAGATTCTTTGCCAAACCACAACTAGCAGACTCAAAGTGATCTTAGAGGTTATATCAAGTGGTCATAAGGTCAACTACGAAAAATTTTCAGACTACGGTTTTCAAACTATATCCATGGCAGGCTATGACCTACAATGCATAAAATCCTTGTTCGTGGTGCAACTATAATGGAAAATGCATTATTACCTATCGGGTTGCTATCAGAAGAAGCCGCAGAAGCACGAAATAAGCATTTTAAGCTGTACCGTCAAAACTTTGCTAGGAAATTTTCAAGGGAGACGTGCAAGCTTGATGTATTCAACAGGTTGTTGCTAAGCTCGGATCCTCTCTTGAGTAGTATAAGGCCAAAGCCGAAAAAGTCAACTAAACCATACACAAAAGAAGCCATTGATATGTTCCTTCCAGCTGATCCTAACCCGATAAATGATTCGGAAGAAGCAGAAGAGGAATCTGATGAAGAATCGTGGCACTCATCACTGTAATTATCTCAATAATTGTATATCTATACTATGTGACATATAAATCCGAACACCCAGTTTAAATGGTTTTATTTTAATAAAATTTTGTATATGATTGCACTGCTTTAAAGCCCTTTGACCTTTAATAATGTGTGGATGCACCCTGATGTGCTACGCATTCTCCAACGCGCCTAGGCATGCTTCTGATCAGGTGGTCAATGTCCTCCTGTGGTATCTCATTCCAGGCAACCACCAACTCCTCTCGAAGTGCTTCTAGAGTCTGAGGAGGACGTTGCAAATTGAGCAATCTCCTACCTATCATATCCCACACGTGCTCAATTGGGGATAAGTCGGGAGATCTTGGTGGCCATGGTAACAATGTGACATCATTATGTTGAAAGAAGTCTATTCTGATGAAGATTAAAGGTGACCTGGAACCATAAGCTATAGCACCCCAAACCATAACTCCAACAGTGTGATGAACATGTCTTTCAACAAAAAACTGTGGATTCCTCCTTTCACCACGTCGGCTTCTAACCCTGGCACGACCATCGTCCATGCCTAAACAAAATCGAGACTCGTCACTAAAGACAATACTGTTCCATTCCTGATCCCAGAGTGACCGTTGTCTGCACCACTCAAGGCGATTACGTCGGTGTTCTCGAGTTAAAGGGAGGACCCAGTGTGGCCGGTATGAAAACAAGCCAAAACTTCTCATTCGTCGGTAAACACTTCGCATGCCAATAGGTCTTCCATGTTCTGCAAACCATTCATTTGCAATGGACCTGGTAGTGGAGAAACGGTGCCTTAAGGCCAATAATCTTAGGCGGCGATCTTCACGGTCTGTTGTTCTACAGCGGCGTCCAGTGCCCCTTGCTCTTTGCGAACGGCCTTCTCGAAGCCATGCCTGACAACACCTAACCACAGTGTCTACACTTCTTAGCACTCTAACTGCAATTGCCCGAAGAGAAAGTCCAGCTTCCCGAAGTCCCACTATACGGCCCCTATCAAACTCACTAAGTTGACGAAATCGTACAGGTCTCCGTACTCTAGGCATCGTAACCGATCGTAAAGGATGTCAAGAACCAAAATCCGCCAACGTTGATTCTTTACTGCGGCTGAAATATTCATTTTTAGAGCGTTAGTGAATTAAAAAAAAGCAGTATAAAAACCGGAATGTCCAACTGATAAGGCTGAACATTTTTTCACTTGTTATTTACAGTAAGATAAATACATTCACCAACTTTTATTAAAATAAAACCATTTAAACTGGGTGTTCGGATTTATATGTCACTTAGTATATATTTTTTCCATTAAATAAAATTCGAATTTGCTGTATTCTAACTGTATATAACTATTTTATTTATATAACTCAATTATACACAAAATATAACGCATTCAATGATGTTTACCAAAGAAATAATTTTGGCCAGCCAAATCGGTCAAATACCTACTCCTATGTGTGACGTGTGAATCACCCTGTATAGGTTTTTTACGTAATAACCCTGCGGGACTCAACTGAAATGCTGGAGCACCGACAGAACAATTGTGTTGATGTTAAGAGGATTATGTATGAAAATGAAAAACATCAATCAAAAGTAGCTTTGTAGGCTTTGTCGCAAGTGGATTAGAAGCGGATCATAGGGATCAATATTCGTAAAGCCCTCCTATATCATATTGTTTTCTAGGGTGTGAAAAAAGAAGAGGACTCAACAGACGCTGAAGTGACTGAAGTTGAGGTGAAAATTGACCCCATGATGATCTTACAATGTTGCCTAGAACCCGATGAAGACACTCAAGATGTCAAACCAACAGAAAAGGATGACATCTTTGAAGAACTCCCCAAACCAGTGCCTGAACAAACCAAATGCGAGAATCTCAAATCCAAAAAACCATACGCGTGCAATGTGTGTCCCAGAAGGTATACGTCAGAACTAGCGTTGCAGAATCACATGTGGAGTCACTCACCATATCCTAAGAGGATGATACTTAATTTGGCAGTCAACACTTACAACAATGTTGACAGGTGAATACTTTTTGCGAGACTTTAAGGTGTAGCTAATTTCTTACAACCCTCTCTACAGAAAGTTTACACAGAATTTCACGTTATATTCCCATGCCTCTAAATGTTAGCTTGATCCTATAGAAAAAAGTCACATACAGAAGTTGTAGGGTTTAATGAAAAAAATTTCAGGCAATATCTTTTTCTTCTTAGAATGGTGCTATCGAAAAATGTACATTTTTAGTAAAAACGATATTCGCTTTTTTCTGATTCCAAATATACAAGGTCATTTGAAGGTCAACTCGTTTTTTTTCAAAGCGACCCTATACTTTTGAACGCGGAAATGGAGAAAAGGTAAAACTTTATGTTCGAATATGTCATTGATCATTTTTGGAACTTGACCTTGGACTTGAGCATCAAGGTCAAACACAAGCTTACCATAATTTATTGATCATTCAGAATGTTCCTTGGCTACAAACATCGACTTGACGTTCACATGACCTTGAAGGTCATCATTGTTAAGGTCAGATTCAAGGTCGTCATTGGATATCCAAGGAAAATCATGAAAATAATGTCTCGGTAGTTTCCCTTCACGACTACCGGTTTTCAATTTATATCACCGCTCCCAGGCTTGACCTTGAGCATGACTTCCTAAGGTCAAAGTTAAGAATGGTCAAGATATATTTGCACGTTAAATTTTCCACTATTTTTATTTACGGGGTGAACATAGATTTGACCTTTAAATGACCTTGAAGGTCAAGGTGCAAGCCTATGTCACCACTAGACAGCTAAATAAAACTCCTATCAATCGCGGGACTTAGTCTTTTCATACCATTATTAGTTGATAAACTATCGTAGGATTCCGGAATTTTTCAGACACTCATAGTTTATTATGCTTATTTTCATTACTTCATTCAAAAACTTGAATTTTATGTGTCGTTCAATCTTACGTATCCGGCCCTATGTCAGATTGCATAGGGCTGGGTGAATAAATAGCACACCAAATTTAAGTTTTTAGAAATAAACTAATGAAAATAACAATGATAAAACCATATATATTTGGAATAAAAAATACGACCATCATCTTCACTAAAATTATACTGTGTTCCATTTGAAAAAATACAAGTCTATTTGATAGCGCTTTTATTAGCACCCCTGTATATGAGAATATATTACAAGTAAACGTTCATATTAGACTTTTGTATAAAATATTTTTTTCTAAACGGTCATACAAAAAAGTTATAACGGGACACCCTGTACATCAGGAAAAACCGTGCCACTTATTTCCGTCGTCATGTTTACCTATCTGTCGGTCTGTGCACTGTTTCTTTTTACGTCAGTAAACATACCTAGTAAAGTTTAGATTTAATTTGAGCTTTCAAATAGACTTCTTTTTTTGTAGTGCATGTGCTTAGCTTAATCTAATACTACGACTATTTCCACTACTGCTGCTGCTGCTGGCTGCTTCTACTACTACTACTGCTACTACTACTACTACTACTACTACCACAGATTACTCCACGTTACATAAAAAAAATAAGAAATAACATGGGAATTATAGTCGTTCTGTTAGAAATCTGTTCCAAGTAGGTTGACTCGTCTCACATGCAATTGCTTTGGTCGATATATTTATTGAAAACATTCTGAATGGCGCTCTTTTCTAATTGATGGTAGAATCGCGTGGGAAATACAGAGTCAATCTACTTGAAGCCATTTTTTTGCTAGGAAATATACGCCTACTATAGTAAACGGAAAAGACAGAAATACAGAAAGTGTCGATAAAGCTTCCGAAGAAGAAGAAGAAGAAGAAGATAGTGATGATAGTGACGAGGAATATAATGAACAAAAATGCCCTTGTCCGATTTGTGGGAAAGTGATATCTTCTAAAGGAAATTTGAAAGTTCATTTGGAGACCCATAGACCCAAAGGAAAATATGGATGTGATATTTGTGGGAGAATGTGAGTATTGAAATTCTAAAATCACTTGACAACAACCTTGCTTCTGGGGCATCTTTATTATGACGCATTTTCATTTGAAAACGTCAAATCCAAAAAAATACTCCCTTTGTCGATCTGAGGTCTCCTTACCACCTATTGATTATTATTTATTATTATTAGTATTATGACTCTTAATGTGATATATGTATGTCTTTATAGACGTTGCAAGCAAAATAGGTAAGCCTCTCCGTTCCTTGAGGGAGGTGATTAAATAGGGTAGCCTTGAAATTAACGACTATGTCACGAAATAAGGAAGCCTCAAATTGAAGGCCGTTTTATTCCTTGGGAAGGATAATCGACAACTCTTCTCTCTTCTGTCGCTTAAGTGCATCTGTCTGCCTTTCATGTCTGTGACCATGAACAGCTTTACGAGGGTGATCCGAAAAGTTTCCGACCTAACAAAGATGCAAGACATTTTTTCAGATTTTTTTATTTTGCAACATAGTCTCCTTGTAACTCTACAAACTTCTCGCAGCGATGCTAGCATCTCAGTAGCCTGTCATTTTTTTCTGCAAAACAATTGTTCACGAAGGTGATTGACTCTTCATTTGACGAAAATATCTGTCCTACGAGCGCAATTTTTAGATGAGGGAACAAAAAGAAGTCACTTGGGGCTAGGTCTGGTGAGTAAGGCGGATGGTCAAGCAGTTCAAACCGTAAATCGTGGATTTTCGCCATGGCAACCGCTTTGGTGTGAGTCGGTGCGTTGAAACTTTGGTGAGTAACTGTCAACAGACAAACAACAAGCTTCACTAGCTTTTATTTAGATACGAGTGCCGCCATCTTCACACTGAGGTCGGAAACTATTCAGACCACCTTCGTATATTTAGCCGTTTGATGCTTGTTAGCAATCATCGATACGGCATAGGTCGGTTTTGGAGACAACGTAAGGCAAACCGAATGTGCGGTCGTCTCGAGGTGGACCTTTTAGTGATTGGATTCCAGCCTCGGATCGTTCACGATTCCTTTTGATTCCAATTCTGTTCGATTCCGATTTTCAAAATTCCAAAGCATATCATCGGTGTTAATGAGCACTCCAAAGGAGCAAGATGGCAGTAGGAATGATTCCGATAGTGTCGATTTCTGAACATACTGTTTCGATACCAGCACTTACAAGTGTCGGGTTGAATTTTAATGAACTGTTTGAAAGGATTCATTGCAAGAAACACGTTGGAATGTGTTTTGAAGGCTATTAACTGATATTCCTCTGCAAGTGCTACGTCGATTCGAGCCTTCTGACACTTTTATACAATTTCGAATGTCATATTGGAAATTGTGTATAACATTTTTGATCAGTGATGAAGGAGTAATTCACAATTTCCCTTGCCATTGCTTGTGTTAGATACGGTTCTGCTGAATGAAATGCTTTATAGTTTGCTCTCTTCTATATCGTTAAATCTTTTTTCACATATTATTTAGCTTTGTTTCATACCATTCTTTCATTTTCGGTTTCATCTTCTGCGATAAATTTAACGTTAAAATCGCAAATTAACAGTCAAAAACTGTCCCTACCCCAAACTCCATACCACAATTATTACCTTGAAGATCGTTAGTGGGAAGATCTGTATGGCAGTAGTGGCGATATTGAGCGATATCGTTGCTTTCAAACAGTCAGTACAAATACAATCCAGTTTTAAGCGCAGGTATCCTAACGGTCGGGGCTGGTTTTAGGAACCGGAATCGAAATCATCGGAATCGGAAACAGAGGCGTCGAGTCCTTCGAGATGATCAAAATCGATTCCTTCAGTTCCCTTTGCGGTATCGTTCCTTTAAAACGACTCGTTCACAACCAACCCAGGTCTACTGTGGTCTGCCAAAAAACTAGCAGTAAGTACGAGGTCTGTACATTAAGTGATGAGATTAATTTTTTTCAATTATTTTATTCAAATACAATTACAATTTTTTATATTGTCACCCTGAAAATAACTTTCGTCTGAAGACACACAGCGCTGGAGACGGACCTGCCACTCCTCATAGCAGTGCTGGAATTCCGATACTGGAATAGCCTTCAGCTGGTGGGTTACAGCCGTCTGAATGTTGTTGATTGTCCCAAAATGAGGTCCTTTGAGGTGATTTTTCAACTACAGGAAGAGAAAAAGTCACGAGGATCCATGTCAGGCAAATAAGGAGGCTGAGGAGACACAAGAATATTTTTACTGGCAAAAAACTCGTTTATGCTGTGTGACAAGGAGCATGATGCAATACCCAGTTGTTCTTGATCTGATGAACGGTGGTGTCCAATTTAACTCTTGCTCAATCATTCTGTCAGTCAAACGACGATATGGATGCACAAGATCCCGGATTCTGTCGATATTTTCATCGGTCCTTGAAGATGAAGGCGTTCCGCTTCGTGGTTCATCTTCAATCGACTCTATCCCTCTTGAAAATGCCTTAAACCACCGAACAACCTCGGCTCTTGACAAAACACTATCTCAGTAGGCCTGCTGAAGTTTAGCAAGAGTTTCCGTTGCACTGTGCCCATGTATGAAGCAAAACCTAGTAGGAGACCGTTGCTTGAAATTGATGTCATTTATTTTTAGAACACAATAGGAAACACTGTTTCACAAAAAAATCTCTATGATCAACCAAATAACTCGAGCGAGTTCAAACTTGTACTGAAGGCGGATCACATGTTCTCCTGTCTCCTCTCCAAGCCTCTCCTAACTTCCTTAATTTAGTCGCGGTGCCCTGGTATTTAGGCTTCTACCTACGCGACTTTTACAGTATAAAAATAATATACCAACGCCGATACATCTGGCCAGGACGTGTTACGTGTCCTCACAATAAGGGGCACCTAGATTTTGTATTTAGACTATCTTTTGCGTTCCAGATTCAAGACTCAATGTAACTTGTATCGTCATAAAGAATACCATGAAGGTGTTCAATACACATGTGAAGTTTGTGGTCGAGTTTATCCCACAAACAGCACTTTAAGGGCACATTCTATAACGCATAGCGACTTGAGGCCACACGAATGCCCGATGTGCGACAAGACTTTTAAAAGAAACCAAGACTTGAAGGTAAGACTAAATTATCAATTTTCCCTTTACGATAGTTGATCCCTGTGTTGCGCCTCTAATCGACTTACCCCATGACAAACATTAAAGCACTTGTTCAGTTGATTGCTGAAAACTATTCCTTTACTGCTGAGATTAAATGTTGAAAATTTATTTCTTCGTGAAAGCTCATTAAATTTTGGAAATAGTTTTAAATCACTAGAAGCCAGGTCTGTCCAATACGGTTTGCCTGCTTAGTGTAGGTCAGCCTTAGTAATGCAGCAGCTATACAGTGTAATTCATTTATACAGGGTGACTTCGAAGTTGAGTCATTTATTTTAACAGTGAGTAGATCTGATCAAAAGAAATGTTTTTTCCTTTACCATTTTTCTGGTAAAATTAAAGTAACAAAGTTATAGCCCTTTGTAAGTTTGAGTACCGCCCTGTCTCAATAATAATATCATGTGCTCGTGTTTGGCAACAACGGATATAATCCGCCTTATCGGTTCATCGCATCGGAAACAAAAAAGCGAAAGAATTTGGAACGATGTTTTTACAATTATTTTATTCAGTTGTATACATACAGTCAGTGTCAGTCGGTAAAGCGTGTGAATAGTGGTGTATGTTGCGTGGCTCAAACGAAATAAAAAATGGCACATGTTTATGCTGATCGGTTTCCCAATCGAGTGCAACCAACCCCTCGTAGTTTGTTAATGTCGTACAACGGGCTCGTGAATCAGGTGACTTAAGACCTCACAGGGGACCTCACAATCAAATACAGGTCCGCACTGAAATACTTGTCGGGAGGATACTTTATAAAACAAGGTAATTTTTTTTTTTATTTTTACACACATATTTTGGTTTATCTTCCTTCTACAATCATTATCTGAAAATTAATGACTCAACTTCAAAGTCACCCTGTATATGTGTTGACTACTTCACAACAAATGAAGTAGTTAATATTTTCATTCATTCCTGCCCAAGTACAGGGTTTTCCAATGAAGCTGTGTTAATGTTGAAATGTAACAAGTTGTGTATGATGACGTATTAACGATGAAATTCCTTTTTATTTGAGATTCTATTATATGGGGATTTTTATGGAATATGACATGAGTCATCTGTGGGTTCACACAGTGGCAAGGATTCAAGGAGTTCAAATTTAAGTAACTACAAGTGAAAATGAAGGGAATGACAACTAGTCCCAAGTTGACATTTGATGTTCGACGGATTACTTGTTGAAAAAGACGCTTATACCACTGGACTATCATGAATCTATGGAGGTGGAAACCTTGCGCTGGAATGTATCGAGATGCGGTGTTGTCCAATCAATGACGCAATGTTGCAGAATTTGTGGCGGTCCTGAAATCTCAGTTTCACTTGAAATCGGAGACCCGTCAAGACTGATCCGGAATCGATTCTAAACAGAGTCGATACAATTCGCGATTCAGAAAAGTGTACGTTTAAAATACAACCAGTAGGAAACAAACTAAAGCTCATTTCCACTATGCATCATAATTGAAGAAAAAGGTGTAGCGCTTGGCAATGCGGCAAATTGCAGTCACGCCCCGCGTCTTCTCCCACTGTCGCATGCGTATGGGCAGCGTTGCCAACCCTACCGATTTTTCGGGATTTCTACCGAAATAAAACCTTATTTAGTGAAATGCCGAGAACGTCCTCATTTTCCACGATTTTTTCAAAATAATCGAGATATTTTCAGATTTTTTTACCAAAAAGAGCTGGAATCAAATGTAAAGCTAAAAAAAGAAATCTATGTAGTCTATGTAGGTTCAAACCCCATATCAGTTATACATAACCGTACACTTGGGCACTCGAGCACACGAGGGACGTACCGGACAAACAATAAGAAAACCAAATCTCGTCTGGATTTAATTTAATATTAAATTAAAATGTCAGGTGATGAAGCTTCAAGTTCAGAGGTAAACTGAAAAATATTCAGAATCTTATAAAGAAGAATGGTAAAAGGAGTTTCAATGATGGTTGCAAAGGAGTTTGAAAAGCGACCAGTAGTTCATTGTACACGTTGTAACAAAGAACTTAAGATTATTTTTCAGGAACAGATGCCCTCAAAAAGATCTGAGTGCGCGTAATGCAAAAATATACTTTTTTCATAGAGGGCGCTGCGTACGCAAAGTCTTGAAACAGCCCTGATTTTTCCTCCTACCGATTTTCTCTTTAAATCTATCGAATTCCTACGGCAGTGTCTACCGATTTCGTCTTTTTGATTCGGCAACACTGGATGAGATGTCTTAACAGGCAATCAATAATCTGATTAGGAGTATACCCTATTTCACGAGTTTACATCACGGTAGAATTACAGCTGATTATCTAGTAATATCTGAAAATCTCCCATATCGACACAGGACACATAATTCTGACTGATCCGTCAACGTCAGGTAGTCAGAGCCGTATTTTGTTTTGGTTTTTTGAACGATACAGATTTATTTTGTACTTGCTAACAGCTCTTTTATTTAGACAAGTTCATTTGCATACAAACAAAATTTACTAGATTTATACCCGATGAAGCACCCCTTGAAACCAGCTCTCGAAGCAGCTGGCATTCATTTCGTCATGGTAATCACCTCCTTTCTTAGAGACGAAAATCAAGTCACACTCTTCTAAAAAGCCACTATCGCTACCAATATGAGTTACGATCAATCTTTGACCTTTCCCTGACGGTCCACGAAGACCTGTTGACAAACCTTCAATGCTTGCTTGTCGGTTACTCACTACGTTTTTGTCTATCCAGGTTTTTTTAACTGTGTGACCTGCACTTACCCATGTCTCGTCCAAATAATAGATTTTTCTGCTTTGTCGCCTATATTCAATCATTTCGCGTAGGTATTTTCGACGCCAGGCGACTATTTCAGGTTTCTCTATCAATACTGACTTAAGATTACGCGTTTCGTAACGAATATTAATTTCGTGCAGGGATTTCCTCATTACCTCGACGCTCATTTGGGAGTATAATTTCATTTTCCTTGATCGCTGCATGTACAGCCTTGAGGGTTGGTATCTCATTCCTAAAGAAGAATGAATGTACGGTTCGCCTTAACGCCATTTTGCTATCGTCATCCAATTTAACGGCCTTTCGTCCCTTCAAATTAAACTTTGGATCAGTAGTAGCTCCAGTTTTCTTCTTTTCATACACCACCCTGCGAATGGACCACTCTGGAACGCCTGTCATACTTTCACAACGCGCGAGTGCATCTCCCTGCGACATAGTTCTGTTCAGATAATTGAACACGTTGAGCACGATTTCTTTCGCGTCCCTCTTCAGTGCTTTACGAAGCCGTCTACTTGTTCCCTGGCTTTCAGTACTTCCACTCGTGCCATTTGTACTCTCCATGGTTAAGTATAACCAAAACAGTAACCACAGAAACCACAACAATAACAATCACACAACAATTCTTATAAAAACACACAATATGCGATCGCTCAACGAAACACGTTCCAATGCGTTGCCGACGCCTATGAGTCTGCCGGTCGAGGCACGTCTTTGATTTCTACCGGCGGAGAACAATCAGCCATTATTTCCATCTCTGTCTGTGCTGTTGACCACAGAAACGACATATGTCGTACGCTATTCGGCTGTACTGGAAGGAAGCCGGGATCGAGCTCTGATCACGTGTTGATCATGCGTATGAGTTATTACAGTTTTAAATAGTTGTAGTATAGTGAAATCGGGTATAAGCCCAAACGTGTTTCTTGAGTGCATTTACTTATCTAATCCCAAGAGACATGTACAAAAACAATTGTTATAATAATTTCATTATTACCGGATATCTTTCTCTTATGTATGTTGTTAACATAGCCTCCTAAGTTTAATTGTTTCAACAACATTGATCAAATACACAACTGCAAAGGAGTTGAGTGCGAATCACAGGGGTCGGTCCTCGTAAGCTCTTCAAGAAACCTCGTCGAGCAAGTCGGCATGCAGGCTCGTCGAAAGCATACTGATGATATTAAATTGAAATATTCTTTTTTAGTTCCACATAAATCAACACACTGGCGCTCGACCTTACAGATGCCCGTATTGTCCAAAAGCATTCGCCAGTTCCGGGAACTGCTTTTCCCATAGAAAGAGGATGCATCCCATGGAAGTAGAACGCGATAGAGAAAGAGCTGCCAAAATAATGCGATAGTGAAATTTAGTTTTTTGGAAACTCTGAAAAGTTTTTTTTACCTGTGTGTGCTCATATCTTGAGTGTGGCTTATTCCTGAATGTTTTCCCAAAAAAATCCGTAGATATTTCGTTAAGTTGAGTTTTTTAGTGTTTAGTACTTTTTGGGATGCATTCCCATAATGATTCGATACTTCTGCAAAATTTGTCACATCTAGTCATAGAATTAATTTTTGTATCTTAAAAAACTCAGTTTAACGTAATGAACTATGTGCAATAATTTATATTTTCAATAGGAAGAGACAGAAAACATCAGTAATATGAACCTATACAGGATGTTACGAGAACATGAACCAAACATTCGGGTGATTATTTTTTTGAAAACCATTATTTTGTCCTTTGACGATTTTCAAAAAAATATGCAGGCCAAACAAAATCAAAGGACACAATACACTTATAACATAGTCCCAAAAATCACCACTTGATTGTTTGCTTTATGAAAAGATCCTATATATTTCTCAGTATGGATAAAGAATCTCGTCGTTTGTTGGTTAGAGCTCCAAAGGAATCAAAAATAGTCTGCTCAGAAAAGTTCTTCCAAGTACATAGCAACACAAACACCAATCTGCATTCACAAAAAGTATGTAGCTACGCTATTTTAGTAAGTGTGGTCTAAGTAAAAAGAAAGTTGTCAAAAAGTCTTGAAATCTCATCTCAAAAATAGTGCTAGATTACCATTTGCCAATTGTGATGTTTCACTAGAGAAGCTGTAACGCGTTTCGCTTTTATTTGAGAAGCATCGACAGACTAGAAGTTAAGTTTCAATTCCAAAGTTATAACGTACTGATAAGGAGTTACAAAATGAGGGGTCTCAAGATCCCCCCATTGTATTCAAGACATGTTCTAAGATGACGTCAACCGCCACGCTCCAATTTTCAGCTGTTATTTAGTAATATACTTCGAAGTTGAGTCATTTATTTTAGCAGTGCGTAGATCTGATCAAAAGAAATGTTTTTTTCCTTTAACATTTTTGTGGTAAAATTAAAGTAACAAAGTTATAGCCCTTTAGAAGTTTGAGTACCGCCCTGTCTCAATAATAATATTATGTGCTCGTGTTTGGCAACAACGGATATAATCCGTCTTATCGGTTCATCGCATCGGAAACAAAAAAGCGAAAGAATTTGAAACGCTGATCACGAAGTTTTTATTCAGTCAATGTGTCAGTCGGTAACGCGTGAGTGAATAGTGGTGTTTGCTGCGTGGCTCAAACGAAATAAAAAATGGCACATGTTTATGCGGATCGGTTTCCCAATCGAGTGCAACCAACCCCTCGTGCCTTTGTTAATGTAGTACAACGGGCTCGTGAATCAGGTGACTTAAGACCTCACAGGCGAGGGCATGCCGGTGCTCCAAGACCGCACGATCAAATACAGGTCCGCACTGAAATACTTGTCGGGAGGATACTTTATAAAACAAGGTAATTTTTTTTTAATTTTTATTTTATTTTTACACACATATTTTGGTTTATCTTCCTCGTACAATCATTATCTGAAAATTAATGACTCAACTTCAAAGTCACCCTGTATAATACAGTATTTTTGCATCAATTTTATCACTGCAACTTTCAGCTAACCGAGTTTATCCGTTCAAAAAAATAAGTATGGGGGCTTTTGGCGAAAGACGGAAATCAATAAATTGTAACGAAAACATCGATTTTACCATTTAATTCATTATTCTCACAATATTTGAAGACTCAAGAAGTAGATAAAGGTGTAATGTAATTTTACTTTATTGACATTTTAAATTTAATTAGTTTGTTATATCTTGTGTTTGCAAATCACAGAATGAAAGAATGACTCCTTAAGGTTAGTTTGACCATGTCGACTGAACTATGGTGTTCCGCGCTGTTGCTGACTCATCGTCCACTGATGGTTGACTGCTCCGCTCTGCCCTCTGTGTGTATTTATTTTCGAATTGACAAATTAAGAAGCGCTTTCGCGCCTTCTTGACAGGACTCGAGTCATCGTCGAAGCTGGCAGATGGCGGTAGATGTTTCTCGATGCGTCGCGAATGCTATCAACTTCTCTAGATAACTCTTCGACTATCCTACTGGTGAATTAGTGAAATGCAGGCTGCCTATGTTCAGACAGTAGAATCGGTTCATTGCTAGCATTGCGTTTAGTCAATGTCAGCTAAGAAAGCATCTCTACTGTGAGACTTACATGCAGGAGATGCGAACAAGAAGATAAAACTGCGTGCTCACGAAGCCTGGCTGTCTAGCGTGCCCTTCGTAATTTATGAAATTGCCTCCGTCTGAACGATGTGTCGTGAGTTTGCATCTGACGTCAACTGGAAGAAAAAAGGAAAAAGTGCCTGTCTTAATATTGGTATCTGACTTTGAAATGGGTGGTGAAGCGCGTGCCTGGAGAAAATCAAACTGATCTCCAGACATTCGTAGCATATTTTTATAAGCTTCAGAGTATATTCATTTCTTGATTGCCAAATGTGTTTCTCAGAATTTCTCCATTAACTGGCCCAGCAAACATTTTTATACCATTTTGTCTTATCTGTCTACATGACCCTCTCAGCATTAATAGCTAACATACACCACTGAAATCCGAACTCAAAACTGCACAAATTTCAACCAGAAGCTCCTCCATGGTCGGCTTCAGGGAATAAACTGAGTAGTGATCGTGTGAACCATCTACGACCCTCGACTGAGAGAGAAAGAACGGAAGCATCTTTCGCACCACAAGACAGTTAAGAGAGGGCCTTCTAGATAATTGGCATCCAAGGGGGCCTGAGTAGCGGAGATATCGCGTCAAGCTGCTAGCCGGTCGACTCGCAGGTTCGAATCTTTGCCTCGGAAGATAATTCCCAGCTATAGATGTTGAGTATTGTCTATATCTATATCACGCACCAGATCTGTGCAAGGTCAACGTCGGCAAATCGCTGAAGCTGATTTATTTAATAACGAGTTTTTAGGCATAAAACGGTCAAAAGTAATCTAGTTGCCAGGCTTTGGCACCACTATTACTAGTTGACAACCGACGATTGGTCAAATACGCAATTTGATGTTATAAAAAATTGAATCCAAAGCTTTTACATTTCTCTTTTGTTTCTAAAATGATTCGCGTAATATTCCGTGCAGGGTCCTGAAAATTAAATTGCTCAGAGCTGACTTACAGGTTTGGAGACTACCAGGGTTGTTTCAAAAATAAGGATCCCACATTTTTTCAGACACAAGGAATTTTTTATTTGAAAAAACGAATTCACCATTGAAAACGTTGATCTTTAAGTTATTTTTCTTCATAGTTGCGGTTTTTCTACGCATGTTTTTATACGTGAAATCCACTTTAACACTCCCGCCTCAAGGAAGTCCGCCGGGTGGTAACGTTTTGCGTGCAAACATCGGATGGCCGCACAAATTTCGCACCTGGCGGTGACGGCGACGAAGGGCATGGCTGACGGGCCGGTACTGAGCTACTGAGTAGGGATGTTCAATACGATCCGATATTTAGAAGTAGCGATACTTTTGCTTTCGATACCCGATATTTTGGATCGATATTTTTCTATACGATACTTGGGTGTATTGATACATTTCTAACTTCAGATTACTTTTCTTCTTTGTTTCCATCTGCTGGTGCTACTCACTTCACGACCTTACATAAGTTATTCTGGATTCCAGGGTTGCCACATTAGGGAGGTTTCCCAAAAAAATCAGGAAATTTCTATTTCAATGGAGAAGATTTTGGAGATATTTTTTCTGGGGATTTCTTTTGCGGAAACATATTTTACTGAGGAGGTATTATTATATAAAATCTTATCAATGTACATAATGTACTTGTTATGTATAAATTTGTCTTTCGATTCGAAACAAATACTTCTTCCTTTTGGGGTATTTAACGAGATACCAAAAATATGTCGCTCAAAAAAGCGAAGCTGTGGATTGGGTTGATCGTGCAGGAAAGTAGGTCGTTGATATGTAAGAGGAACAGTGTCGGAGCCAAGACCGATCCCTGGGAAACACCCGCGTTCACGTTGTGGGATGAGGAGGAGAACCCGTCAATTACGACGGATATCTTGCGGCCAGAGATAAAGTCAGCCACCCATCTGCAAAGCTTTTCTGGGAGGCCATAGGATGGAAGTTTGCTTAAGAGGGCAGCGTGCCACAGCTGATCGAACGCTTTCGTGATATCAAGAACAACGACATGAGCCTCACCATAAGACTGGATGTGTTTACTCCACAAATGCGTGACGTAAGCTAGGAGGTCCTGTGTGGATGGTTGGTGCCGAAAACCATACTACCTGTCGCTAATCAAGCTGTGACGTTCGAGGTAGTCCACGAGCTCGCGATTCCGTATTCCTCCATTCCGACGTGGATAATTTCGGTTATCGAAGAACAGACAGCCGACGCATCCGCGTCAGTGAAACAGACATCTGTCCAAGGAAAGCTACAGAAGTCTCTGAGCCCCTCCCAGTCGGCATGTCCGTAATGCCAAGTTTTGCGGCCTGTACGAGCTTCTGCTGCCACAGCGGGTTCTGACCGAAACCTAACATCCACAACACCGTGGTCTGAGTTACCCAGGGGGGACAGGACAGCAGTGCTGGAAGAGACAGTATGCGTGGTCAGAAAAAGATCCAGCAGGCTACGGTCGTGCGACGAGATGCGGGGGAAAAAAGTAGGGCTCGTCACCAGCTGGGTCAGCCCTTGAGTAAAAGCGAACGCTTCAACTGCATGACCTGCTGCATCGGTCTTGTTTAAGCCCAACCAAAGCTCATTATGGGCATTGAAATCACCGAGAAGAACTACCTCTGAAGCGGGGTGATTGATGTTCAGGAAGTCGATCTGGACGGCTAGGTATTCGAGTAGGTCATCCCAGTTATGGTCCGAAGGAGAGCGATAAAGACAGCAAATAAATTTGGGTGATGTTTTTTAGTTGAGGCGAAGCCACAGAATTTCCTTCCGGTCTGATTCTAAAGAAACATCTCTGGAGCATGAAAGACTGCTGCGGACAAAAATCACAACTCCCCCGTTCTTTCTCAGATTGGAGTGCACCTCGTAGTTTTGGAAGTTAAGATGGTTAATCGGTGCAGACTCTGAGATTTTTGTCTCCGCCAAGAAAAGCGCGGCGGGACGATTGGATTGCAGGTAGTGATGAACAGCATTAATGTTGCTGTTAATCCCGCACAAATTTTATCTTTGATGTTGTTCCCTCGAGCCCACCCTCCACACGGACATTCCGAGAGTGGAGTGAGTTTACGTCCGGAGTTCTTAGTGCTTGAGGGATCCATCATCATTAATTTCTTTGTTTTGGAAGATAACCGACTGCATAGCTTAGGTGTGGAAACATGCGGACATTTATAAGACACCCTGGGAAAAGCTAGCGGGTGGTACCGCCTCGGTCGACTGGTCCTTGTCTATCACCTTCTTTTTACGTGTTAGTGATATTAAACAAACCTAAAGTGGCCCGGGGTGGAATATGTAAGTTATGGAATTGTGAGGCTTTTACCTACATACTTGACAATCTAGCCATGCAGTTGAAAAAAGTAAACATTATTTTGAGGGTTGTAGAAAAAAACAACTTCGATTATCGGTAGTGTATGTTCCGTAACGAAAGGTTTCGATGCTTGTGGTATCGATATTTTTATTCCGATATTTCAGAGTATCGATACTGCCTAAAACGATACGAATCGATACATCCTATCGATTCTTTTCGTGCATAGGAAAATCCTTAGTACTGAGCATCGGAAATAGGCGCTTCTTGTTGAGGCCGGTAGTGGGGGAGCCGACAAACACGACGGTGTTGTCAGATTTCTCCTAGGATCAGGCGCGGCAAAGATAAAGCGTTGGGAACCTCGTATAATATGTTTGCATAAGGCTGAGACTACCCTCGAAAAGTGTCAATTATGATTTACAGGATGCAAAAGCGCATTTTGACAATTTCCTTCAAACTTGAGACAAGCATCAGCACTGACATTTATAGTAAAAGCTATAGGTCCTCAATTTTTATGTTTAGTCTATATCTAAAACATATATGTATCTCCATAGATCGCTAA